CCCACTGTAATAACTCCTGGGCTCTCCCCTTCCTGGCATAGTAGCAGGTGGCCCACTTCTGAAGAAGCTCAGCAGAGAAGACTAATGTTTAGAACGGAGCTCTTAGGTCCTGATGTGCAAATTTGTGAATGGTCTTTTCCTTCTGGCCTGTGCTCAAACCTCTCTCTGGTTGCTGCCTCCACCCCAAAGGTCTTCCCACCTTGCCTTGGTAAACCCCACCCTTTTCTGAAGGAGGGGTAATTAGGTTTATTTATTCATTTTTTTTTAATTGAAGGTACTGAAGCTTGAACCCAGGCCCTTGTGCATGCTAAGCATGCATTCTACCACTGAGCTATGCCCTCCCCTCATCCGCAAACCGTATTCCTCGTTCAAGTTCTAAGACAAAGTTTTCTCCCTGGGGTGGTTTTCCCTGATCCTCCAGGCAAAGGAAGCTCTCCAGAGTGCCGGGAGCCCCTGGCCAGGAAGGGATCTCAACTGTGGTGGTCATCACACTAGACTGGAGCTGACTTAATTGCCAGTCCTACCGCTGATCCGAGGCCCTTGGCACTGGGACTGTCCGATTTTTGTCTGAATCCCCAGTACCTACCATAGTGCCAGGCACGTAGCAATAGGCTTTCAGCAGATGTTTGGAGAATAAATGCCCTTTTTATTTTTCAGATGAGGACATTAAAACTAGCCAGACCAGTTAACCAGATCATTGAAGTGGCTGTCTTGAGTTGCATAGTTCCAAAGGGGCAAATAAAGATCAGATGCCTGGGCTCTCGATCCGCGTCCTCTGAGCTGGCCGTCACATTTCTGTGTCATTGTTGTGCCCGGGTTTCCTGCCCCCTCTGGGTGGGGGTGGCCAGTTACCATAACATCTCACCTTGAATGCTCCGGAGGATAAAAAGGATTTTTACTAATAATTACATGGGGTGAGCCAGGACTGTCTCCAGGCAGGCGTCCTCTGGCTGATCCATTCAGTGACTGTTTTCTTCTTCCTTTCCTCTAGTCACTATATTTTTATACTAGAGAATGATTGCTCAACTATCTTGCAGATGAGAACAAAGGTCCCTCAAAATGAGTTGTCATAAACAAGGCTGACTCTCCACCCATGCCGCGGAAGAAAGGCAGAAAATCTTATCTGGGCACTGATCCCATCAGTCAGGGATCAGCCCAGTGACTTAGCCAATAAATATTTTTTTGTGATTTGTGTTAACTGGTAAACAATTGTTGAAGGCTTTCTGTATGCTGAGCCCCTTCTAGGCCTGAGCTGTTGCTGTGTCTCACGTACTTTAACAGACTCACCAGCAGATAGTTAGAGGCCTGTCCATAGAGGCTGGCATAGGTGGGGGCACAGGTGCTAATCCCACAAGGGCAGTGACACATCACTCTTCTAGTCTGTAACCTGCTTGGGGACTGGTGGAGGCATGATGACCTAACTTGTTTCCTTCCTGGGACGTGTCAGCCAAGCTGTGGTCTCCTAAGACCTAACATAGCTGATGGAGGTTGGGGCGGTGGATAGGGGGCGGGATGGGGGTCCTTGACCTAGCCCCCTGAGGCCAGAGCATGAGCTTGCAGGAGGATGGAGCTGTCTCTTGAAGATTAACAATTCTGATTTAAAATCATAGGCTTCCAAAGGGGAGTGTATTTATTGCTCAGTGGTAGAGTGCATGCCTAGCATGCACGAGGTCCTAGGTTCAATCCCCAGTACCTCCACTGAAATCAATCAATCAATCAATCAATCAAACCTAATTACCACCGCCACCAAAAATCAAATCAAATCAAATCAAATCATAGGCTTCCAGAGTTGAAAGAGATGGATCTCAGGGTTCAACTTGTATACCTTCTACCCATACAGGCAGGGACTCCTCTTGGCACACCTCAGATCCTTTTCATTTTTTTTTGAAACCTCTTTTCTTTTCCACCTTGTCTTCTTTAGAGCTCTGTCCCCTAGCCTGTTTACCTCATCGTATATGTTTGTGTGTACACAGTTGTACGTCCAGAATATGCCTAATGTTTGTATATGTGTGTATCTTAAACTCTCAAATATTTCTGTTTCATTATCTAGGTATGTGGGGTTTTTTTGAACGATCTATTAATTCAATTTTTATGGCCCTTTATCTGAAGAGCTTGTGGTATTTCATCTAGTGTCTGATTTTTAAAACAAAGAATTTAGAGAGAAAAGAACTAGTCCATAAAATCTCCCCTTCAGGGAGAGGAAAGGGCATGGAGCGGTGTTCAAGAACGAAGCTCCAGGTTGAATCCCCATAGTTGGAGGATTTAAGCCCCTTCCCCCATCCCCGGCCCCTGTCCAATTCCAAGCCAGGGGTTTTTCTGCTTAGCTCATTGGAGTAGTTCGGAGCAGAAGGGATGGGGGGGGCGGGGTGAAGAGGGCGCTGAGGTGCAGCCCGGCCCCTGCAGCTGCAGCTGGGCCTCTCCAGGGGCTTGGGCAGGAGGCTCCATGGTGACCGCCGCTCCCGCTGCTATTGTCCTCCCTGCCCTGCTCGGGGAGGGCCAAAGAGCCGGGCCTCCCCTCTTTCAGGGATGCAGCTCCAGGGGAGGAGCGGGGGCGGAGGGCACGCCATCCCTGGCCGGTTGCCGGGGTGACCGGGCCCAGGGCTTTGTGAGCTGCTCCTCTTACGGGATTACGGCTGTTCCGCATTCCTGTCCGAAAGGGACAGAGGCCCGCGTTCCGAGCCGGAAGCCTTTGTCTGCCTCCAGAGCCCTGTGAAAGGGGGGATTAGAGGCTCCGCCCCTCGAGTCCCGGTTTCCTTTTCTCTGTCTCCTTTTGAACCTAGAGGGGAGGCAAACCCTCCTGGGAAATGAATGAGGCGCTGTTTTCCTCGGCCTGCGCCTTCAGATTTCTCATAACTTGCCTGGCTCCCACGAAGGGGAAGTCTTGTATTTACCATTTATGTCCTTGAATAGGACTTGTCAGGAATTGACCAGCCCTGTGACACCCCACCCCATCCCCGCCCAGCACCTGATGCCAGCACTGCAGCCTCCAAGGGCCCCGTGGCATTTATACGGTCATTTCACACAATTGGAGCGGGAAAGCACCTCTGACATCTTAGCCCAGCCTGTTTATTTCACAGAAAAGAAAATTGAAACTGGGAGCGGGGGTGGACCTTGCCCACCAGGACAGCAGCAGAGCCTGGAGGGTCCAGGTCCGCTGACTCCCCACGCGATGCCTTCTCCATACACCACAAGCCGCAGTTGGTTTCTGTCACCCTCGCTGCTGAGTGCCGTGGAACAGGAACCCTGTTCCTAGGAGTTTTGCTTAAACTGCTTCTTGGCAGTTCTTTCTCCATTTCCTCTTGCCTCACTCCACCCTTCCTGAACCCACCACACATACCAGCCAGAGAGTTTAATCTTTATATGGTTTTTGCACCTTTACAAACAATAGCAAAGCCCAGAGGACTTTGTTTAATTGTCTAGTTGTTTGTTTGTTGCCGGAGGAGCGACATTACTTACCTAGACTGAAGAGACTGGCATTTTTACCATAACTTTTTTTTTCAAGTATAATTGGTTACAATGTTGTGTCAATTTCTGGTTTACAGCATAATAGTTTGGTCATACATATACATACATATATTCATTTTCATATTCTTTTTCATTATAGGTTATTACAAGATATTGAATATAGTTCCCTGTACCATACAGTATAAACTTGTTTATCCATTTTATGTATATACGAATATATCTATATATCGAGGTATCTATAAATCTCGAACTCCCAGTTTATTCCTTCCCACCCCGTTCCCCCATAACTTTTTTGTGATTTTTTTTATGTATGTGTATGGTAAAACATACATGACATAAAGTGTACCATTTTAATCGTTTTAAGTGTACAATTCAACACATCCACAATGTTGTACACCATCACCACTGTGCATTTCCAAAACCTTTTCATCATCTGAAGCAGAAGCTCTGTACCTATTAAACAATAACCTGCTGTCCCACCACCCCCACCTCCAATATCCCCACTCCTGGTAACCACTCTCCTCCTTTCTGTCCAGTGCATTTGCCTACTCTGGGTACCTCATGTAAGTAGAATTGTACAATATTTGTCCTTGGGCGCCTGGCCTCTTGCACTGAGCATCGTGTTTTCAAGGGTCATCTATACTGTGCATGTATCAGTACTTCACTCCTTTTTATGGCTGAATAATAGTCCATAGGATGAATATACCATATTTTCTCTAGCCAGTCATCCATTAATGGACATTATGAAGGAAAAAGTACCAGAGGCAGGATCAGATGGTCAATAGTGCCACCCCCTCTGCCCGTTAGTGACTGCGTGACTGAGCAGGTCATTTACCTTCCTTAGGAACCAGCTTCCTCACCTGGAAATGGGGTAATGATGCTTTCTGTGCCAACCTCCCAGGGTTGTTGTGAGGGCTGGTTCACTGACTGCTGCAGTAATGGTTGTTCAGCCCCTACTGTGTGCCAGGCACTATGCTCGCTATCCAGTGGTGAGCAGAACACGCCCAGTCCTTTCCTTGTAGTGGAATGTGGTAAATCTGCAATCATAAAGCATTGGCCTTACAAATGCAGGTTGTTACCTACCTTCTGCATCTGTGGACTCTGAATAAGGTCATTGATCCATTCTCCTTCCTGCTACATAAACTGCACCTAACCTAGTGAGAGCCTTCTCTAGAGAAGGTGTTCTCCAGCCTCTCTGCCACCTGCCCCACTGAAGGATGGAGAGGCTTCTCTGGGTGCGCCCTGTGGCCTTTGTAGCACCTGTAGGCACATCACCAGGATCAGGGCTCTCAGAGTGTCCTTGGGGACGCCTTTACCTACCAGACCTTTCTCTTCACTCTCTTGCATTCTCTGTTCCCAGGTGGCCATCAAGTCAATCCGGAAAGACAAAATCAAAGATGAGCAAGATCTGATGCACATTCGGCGAGAGATTGAGATCATGTCGTCACTCAATCACCCCCACATCATTGCCATCCATGAAGGTACAGGGGCAGAGTATTTGAACCTGGGAGTGTGTGTGTGTGTGTGTGTGTGTGTGTGTGTTTGCGTAGGAGCAATCAGAACAGATGACACAAGGAAGTAAAAAACACACAGGCTTAAGAGCAAAAGTTGGATTTGAAACCCAGCTGTATGACTTTGGGCAACTCTTTTAACCTCTGGGCCTCAGTTCCTCATTTGTAAAACGGGATAACCCCACCTACGTCACAAGGTTGGTGCAGAGATCAAAGTACAAGTCACCAAGTGCTCGGCGCGTGCGAGGAATTCCGCAGACTGTTGGCATTTTTGTTGTTAGGTTTTCCAGACTTGAACACTGCCTCCCCAAACCAATGAGATCCTTAGCAATCCGGGGGAGGCTGAAACATACAGAGACCTGCACCTGTCCCCGGTGCGTGGGTACTGTTTTCCTTCATGCATCCCAAGAGCCAGACCTCCTGTCCTCTGAATCATTCCCCCATGGGGCTGGCTCCCACCTCGTCTCTTTCAGCCTCCTCTTGGTCTGACATCAGTGCTGGCTTTCCTCTCCAGCTTCCCTGTTCCCTGCGACCCAGACAACAAAGTAAGCCAGAGAGGGTGATGTGGCAAAGAGGGGGAGCAGCCTCCCACACACACCTGTCTGCTTCCAGCCGTTACATAATATCAGTTAGACAGGAAACAAGGAAAGGCAGTAGCAGCAGGATGGAGGGAAGGGAGCCTGTGGCTTTGTCCTGGGTCTGCTATTCCTGGTGGGAAGAAAGAGTGGTCTCCTCTTTCAAGTTATGCTTATAGGACGACTCGGGGCAGAGCCACTGACATGGCCCCATGACCTGAGCTGGTCCCATGGGGAGCCCAGGCAAGTGGCTCTGAAGGCGAATTGTCTCTCTGTGTATTTCCCCCAGGGAAGAGTGGGCAGATGACAGAGGTATTGGTTAAGCCAGGCTGAGCTTGGTGATTGGGCTCCGTGTGTGTGTGTGTCTGTGTGTGTCTCTGTGTGTGTGTGTACATGTGAATTCCCCCTGACACCTCTATCTCCAGCTAGGTCTAGGAACTGAGCTTTGAAGCTTAGGATGTGGCTTCTACTTACTACATCTTCAGATGCAGCACATATTGGGATGTCACAGCTTAACAGTGTATCTAGCAGGGCTCCCCCAGATCCATCCCCTTCTGCCACAGCCTTCAGGAGTTTTAGGCTGGGACAAGGTTCTGGTCCTGGGACTGACCACTAACCTAGCTGCTCTCCAGAATGGGCCCTGGCTGGCTCCTGACCCCCAATTTCAGGGCACAAAGTTTGCACACAGCCTGCAGAGATGTGGGGAACCACAGGGGTGGAGCCTCAGCTGGGCACCCCCAGCAGGCCGGGCCATGATGCTCCCGGGGGGGAAAGCGCAGTCTTCCTGGTCATGGATCCATTTGACCCGGAGCTGGTCCCCTGCTTGGAAGAAGCCTGCGCCCTCTGTTCCCCCTCACAAGCTAGACAGCAATCACGCTGGGGCTGGCTGAGCAAGCCAAACTCATAAGACCCGTCTGACACAAAGATGCCATGTCACCAACATACATGTTTTGACACATACCCAGCAGAAGGGCCAGTTTGGGGAACCAGCCATTGCCTACTTTTCCAGGAGGCAAGACAAGGCCTTGGGTGGCAAGAGGGCCCCTCCCACACATGGAGATGAGCCAGCTGGAGTAGGCTGACTGCCAGGACCCCAGCCGATCAATTAATCACCGAATAGTTAGAGTGTTTCTGTGTACAAGGCCCTGGCTTGAATACTCTGGATGGGAAGTCAGAGATGTTAAAAGTGATGACTATTTCAGCTCTGCATGGCACTTTGCAGTTTACAAACCACTTTCATACACTTGTTTTCCTCTTCTAATCCTCAAGGCAGGCATTACTAAGGACATGATTCTTCAAATTTATGCATGAGGATGCTGATATAAATGTAATAGTAGATACCATCTATTAAGGGCTTGCTTGCAGCAGCTTGCTCAGCCAGCCCGAGAGCTGTCTATCACTTACTTTCATCTATTTCTCACCCCAGCCCTGTGAGGTCGCTATTATCATCCCTTTTCAAGTGAGGAACTCAGGCACACTGGTTGAATAACTTGCCACAGTTTCCCAGCTAGTAAGTGATGGGACCAGGATTCAAACCCTAAACCTACGTTCTTACTGATGTACCTAGAAGAGATTTGCCCAAGGTCACGGGGTAAAAAAGTGCTGGATTCTGAACCAGAGAACGTGACTTTTCATACTCATTCAGTGATGTCTCAGAATTTGCTGGGTAGTTTTAAGAATCCTCAAAAGCCTGAACTTCCAAGGAGAGGGAGGGTGGGCCTTGGCCTTAACTGGAAAGTGTCAAGAGCATCAAAAGCCACCCTCCTGCCCCATTAGCAAATGTCTCTAGAGGAAGGTCCTGTCTGGTTTGCAGCCAGGGAGGACTATGCGGCCCCCAGTGGGGAGCAGTGGGCTCTGGTGGGGCCTGACATTCCTGCCCTGCTCTGCCCCAGTGTTTGAGAATAGCAGCAAGATCGTGATTGTCATGGAGTACGCCAGCCGGGGTGACCTGTACGACCACATCAGCGAGCGGCAGCGGCTCAGTGAGCGCGACGCCCGGCATTTCTTCCGGCAGATTGTCTCCGCTGTGCACTACTGCCACCAGGTGAGCAGCCACCTCCCCCAGCCCTGTTCTGAGGGGCTGGTCCCTGGGGCTCGGGAGCCAGTTTGCACCAGATTCCATGACCTGTCCAGGATCACACAGGAAGACAGAAGCAGAAGCAAGACTCAATTCTGGACTCAGACTAGGGAATGTTGGTGTCTCTGGCTTTGAGTCTCTTGGCCCAGGATGGAAGGGCCCACGATGTTTTGTGCTATGTGCCAGTAAAGATGGGCATTCCCACCTACCTGTGCTCACCCCTACTCGGCCCCCTTTGTGTTTACCTCACTGTTCAGACCATGCCCTTGTGTCCTCCCCTCCCTGGTGACCTTCTTGACTCTCCTCCCTCCCTCTTTCAGAACGGGATTGTCCACCGAGATCTCAAGCTGGAGAACATCCTCTTAGATGCCAGTGGAAATATCAAGGTGAGCCCCACCTCTTGTTTAAAGCCACTCCCCCACCCCTCCCCAGCCTGTCTGCACTGCCCCTAGCCAGGCATCTTGAAGCCCCTAGGGGGTTCTAGAAGGAGCTGAGCAAAGCTCAGACTTACATATTGGTACTGGTAGGGACCTCCACCATCATCCATTCCAGCACCTTATTCTGTGGATTAAAAACTGAGGGAAGGGTGTAGAGTTCATGCTTAGCATGTACAAGGTCCTGGGTTCAATCCCTAGTACCTCCATAAAATAAATAAATAGATAGGTAAATAAGCCTATCCCCCCCCCCCCCGGATGAGAAGAATAAACAAGACAGAAGCCTCTAAAATATATATGTATGAAAAAGAAAAGAAAACTGAGGCCTCACGATAAGGAATGACTTGCACAAGGTCCCATGGCTGGTGAGTGGCTGAGCCTGAGTTGGAACCAAACTCCTCTGACTCCCTGACTAGAACTCTTGATGTTACCAGGCTGACCGGAGTCTAGGTCTAGGGTTGGCTTCTGCTCGTAACCTTGGGACTGGCAAGCAGAAGTCACAGCCTGAGTCCGCCCCACCTGTGTGCCTGCACAAACACACCTGCTCACACGCAGCCGCAGTTAGGTAGTCCTTTGGCACCTTTCACCACAGCAAGCACTGCCCCGCCAGCTTCCTGCTTTCTGCAGCTGCTGAATTCTCATGCCTAATTAGTTAAACTTAGGTCTGAGAAGTTCACGTTGATGTGGTAAACCCAGGTCTCAGGGCTGGCAGGGGGAGGTGGCAAGGGCTGGCCCCTGCAGGTACCTGGGAGGGCTCGGACTCTGCACTCAGACCCCTCCTCAGAATCCTTCTGAACCCAGGTCATAGTCCCTTTGCAAGTGGCTCCTGACCTATGCCCTGAGGTGCCCTGGCACTGAGTTCATGCCCCTAACCAATTCCCGGAGCAGGTGGGGCTTGCTTTGATGTTGACCGGGGGAGGGAAACCAGAGCCCATAAGCCCACATAACCTGGGTGGACACGAACTTTCCCATCTGTACCAATCACCTGCCTCATTACGGGCTTCAACTGGTAACTGCTTGATAAGAGACCAATAAAACCATAAATGAAGGAGCCAGAGTTCATCAACAGCCCCACCCTGGGCACACATGGCCCTCTGCTGGGGATGAAGAGGTGGGGAGCAGAAGGGCAGTGGCCTCAGCCTCGGTTTAAGAATAGCTGGGGAAGAGTCTCTCTAAGGAGCGAGAAGATGGGCTTGGAGCCTCTCAAGCCCTCAGTATAAGGTAGCTCAGAAAGTCCCATAAGAAGAATCCATCTACTGGGCTATAAATAACCATGGCTGTCGTCTTTGTTCTGCCTTCACTATGGCTTCTCAGCTATACTGGGCTGACCCCCGTCCACCACGTTCCTGCCCAGGTGTGGGCAGAGAGATGAGCCCCTTTGCTGGGAAGGGCAGCCCAAGCCCAAGCAGTGGGCAGCGTGCTTCTGAGCACCCCGGCATTGGCACCAGAGGCCGACTCTCCCCCTCCAACTGGTAGACCCTTCCTTCAGTCAGTCAGTGGCCATCCCACCCATGGGTCACACCTGCGCTAGGAGCTGCAGACGGGGTGGGGGCCGGAGGTCAGCACAAGGAACGTGGCAGTAAGAGGAGATGGGGTGGACAAGCTGGGGCAACTGTGAGCCACTGGAAATTGTAGGGGTTCATGGGAGAAGGAAATCTCAGGGCAATGGAAGGCTTCCTGGAGGAAGTGGGCTGGCAGGTGGGCTTGCTGGGTCAGGAGGATGTGTGCAGGCAGGAGACAGCATCCCTGGAGTGATGGACAAAGGCGAACAGTGTGAACAAAGGTGCCTGGGAAACAGCGAGGACCTGGCGCCCCGACACACCTCTGCCTGGGCACTCCTCATTGGTGCAGCCTCCACAGGGCCCCCTCTTCCAGGGCCTGAGCTATGTCGGCGGTGCCCAGTGTTGGGTAGGGGTCATGGGCACCCTTCCCTCCTGCTGGGGCCTGGGTTTCCCCCGGTCTAGAGAGGGGCCAGCTGGGAGCTACAGAACAAGCCAGGCCTTGGTGTGACCCCTGCCCACGTGTGACCCAATCCTGCAGATCGCTGACTTTGGCCTCTCCAACCTCTACCACCAAGGCAAGTTCTTGCAGACGTTCTGCGGGAGCCCCCTTTACGCCTCACCCGAGATCGTCAACGGGAAGCCCTACACGGGCCCAGAGGTGAGTGTCGGCCGTTCACTGGCTTAGATCCAGAGACAGGTGCGCTAGTTCCTAGCTACTCCCTCTTTCAGAGCTCAGAACTCACCTCCCTGCCGGAGGAGTGCCAGGCCAGGTCTCTCACTGCGGGAGGCAAAAACTGGAACGAGAGTTTGAGTCTCCTGCTCCCAGTCTGGTTCTAAGCCCCCACTTCCCAAGTTCCCATTACCTTTCCCAGTCCCCAGCCAACCTCCCTGGAGAGGTGGTGTCTGTCACAACCATCCACTCCTGGCCCAGAGGGATGACCTTGTCACTGACCTTGTGTTTGTGGCTGCCGCTCCCAAGGGGAGGCAATTGACTACCCCTCTTCCCACGAACCTCAGTCTCTTCTGCAGTGTCACCCTCTCTGTCCCTGGGTGCGAGAAGGAGGTGGTTCTCGAATGCACTGAGCTCTGAGTTCTCCAAAGTGTGCCCCTCTTTTCCCATGGTATTGAATGTGAGGCTGGAAGCCCTCCAGCCTGTGGCATGAGAACATTCTTGCTGACTCCCTCCTCTCTCTCTCTCTCCTTCTCTCTCTCTCTCTCAGGTGGACAGCTGGTCCCTAGGTGTTCTCCTATACATCCTGGTGCATGGCACCATGCCCTTTGATGGGCAGGACCATAAGACGCTGGTGAAACAGATCAGCAATGGGGCCTATCGGCAGCCGCCTAAACCCTCCGGTGAGTGAGCATATGGGTGTTCTCATCCAGGCCTGGGGTGTCCTTTGCTAATTTCCACAGCAGGAATTAAACAGTGACAGTAAAATGAAGAAAGCCACCCAGAGAGATGAGGGTAACTTCCACCCCACCTCCTGCTGTCCTCTCTCTGCCTCCTGTGTCTGTGACCTCAGAGGAAGGAAGGGATAGCTCTTCCTTCCTTTATGGGCATACTTTATTATATTTGGGAAGTGCTTCCTAAGGTCTAACTTAGATCCTCCTTGCTCCAATTTCCTACTGCTTTTGTCCTTGTCTTTAGAAATCTTTTTGTCCCCTCAGGTACAATGTAGAAGGCAAGAATCAGGGTGTGAGAACCTTGGTTTACTCTTGAGCAGTCCCTACCCTCAGAGGGTTGCATTTCAGGGCAGCAAAGGAGGATGCACACTAACATACAAACCTGGCTAACAAAGGGGCCGTGGTCCTGAGGGGCCGAGGGGCAGAAGCAGACATTGGCGGAGTCAATCCAGGAAAGCTGGAGACTGTGGGGAGCCGGCCTGGGCTGTGGCGTGTGTGGAGCCCTGGTGGGAGTGGACCTGTCTGACACAAGAGTGAGCCGTGTCTTAGCACGAATGGGGGTCAGCCAGTGAGAGGCGGGCTATGGGTGCCCATGCTCGTGGCTACGAATCTGAATTCCCTCTCTTTCTTCTAGATGCCTGTGGCCTGATCCGCTGGCTGTTAATGGTGAACCCTACCCGCCGGGCCACCCTGGAGGATGTGGCCAGTCACTGGTGGGTTAACTGGGGCTACACCACCCGTGTTGGAGAGCAGGAGGCTCTGCACGAGGGAGGGCACCCGGGCAGTGACTCTGGCCGGGCCTCCATGGCTGACTGGCTCCGGAGGTCCTCCCGCCCTCTCCTGGAGAATGGGGCCAAGGTCTGCAGCTTCTTCAAGCAGCACACGCCTGGAGGTGGGAGCATCACCTCCGGCCTGGAGCGCCAGCATTCGCTCAAGAAGTCCCGCAAAGAGAATGACATGGCCCAGACTCTCCAGGGGGACCCAGCTGCCAACAGCTCCCCTCGCCTTGGCAAGGGCACCCTCAAGCTGCCGAAAGGCATTCTCAAGAAGAAGGCGTCGGCCTGCTCGGAGGCACCAAGGGAGGGCCCTGAGCTCAGCCCCGTCCCTACAAGCCCAGGACAGGCTGCCCCCCTGCTCCCCAAGAAAGGCATCCTCAAGAAGTCTCGCCAGCGTGAGTCTGGCTACTACTCGTCTCCTGAACCCAGCGAGTCTGGGGAGCTCTTGGATGCAGGGGACGTGTTTGTGAGTGGGGATGCTGTGGAGCACAAGCCCCCACCAGCCTCAGGGCTGCTGCTCCATCCGAAGGGCATCCTCAAACACAACGGCAAGTTCTCCCACACAGCCCTGGAGCTCCCCGCCCCCGCCACCTTCGGCTCTTTGGATGAACTGGCCTCACCTCGCCCTCCAGCCCGGGCCAGCCGCCCCTCAGGGGCTGTGAGTGAGGACAGCATCCTGTCCTCTGAGTCCTTTGACCAGCTGGACTTGCCTGAGCGGCTCCCTGAGCCCCCACTGCGGGGCTGCGTGTCTGTGGACAACCTCCTGGGGCTTGAGAAGCCCCCCTCAGAAGGCCCTGGAAGCAGAGGCCTGAGGCGCTGGCGGCAGGACCCCTTGGGGGAGAGCTGCTTTTCCTTGATGGACTGCCAGGAAGGGGCAGAGGCCTGCCAACAGGCACTGGGGGTCTGCTCAGAGCTCAGCTGAGGGTGGGGGCATCGCCCCGCCCGGGCAGGCTCTAAGATGCAGCTGGCTGCACCCTCAGGGGAGACAGCCTTCTTCCCTGCCACCCAGGACCAACATCCCAGCCCAGAAGGCTGAGAGGGTTTGCAATCGAGCCCTGGGGAGGGCTGTACGTGGGGAGTGGGCAAGTGAAGTGCATTGAGGGTTCGATGTCTTCAGCCCCATCCAACCAAGAAGATAGTAGAGGGAAAAAGAGTAGAGAAGTAGAGGGGCAGGCCCGTGGCCGAGTCCCCGTTGCCTGTTTCTTGTACACATAGTAGGGCCACAGAGATCTGGAAAGAGCGCGCTCTTAGCACTCATCTCCTTTATTGTAATGAGAAAGTTTCCTGCATGGTCCCTTCCTGCCGAGGTGGGGGTGGAAACTCTTCTTTCATTCACACATACATTCCCATCTCCACCAACCACAAACTGAAATGTGGCACCCCTAACACCCTGGGGTGTCCTGGAAATGTCCTCCCAACGCCTGCCCTTCCTTACTTACCTGAGCAGTAAGAGAACGCAACCTCTTGTTTCCTCAAAGGTTCTCTCCCTTTTCCCCTCCTCCAAACCTGGCCCAAGCCTCCTGGAGTCGCTGCTATGAATCTAAAGGACTTGAAAAGGCTCAGGCTGCTATTGGACTTCATCTCAAGGGGCCCAGATGCCGCTGGACCCCACCTTGGACCTCAAAGACTCTGAACTTCTCCGGCCTCCAAGCTGCTCCTGCTACTGAGAATGGCCATGTCTATTTCTCTGGGCCCTAGAATGTTCTTATTTATTTTTATGTTTTCAACACTGTTTTTTTTAAAAAGTGAGCCTTCTATCTTCGATAATGTGAATACTGTGTTCTGGGGAAATCCACTGTGCCATCTAAATGTTGTGCAGAGAGACACAGTTTTGCAATGATTCTCGACTGATTAAGGGGAAGTGGAGGGGGAATCTTTTATAAATCTACATATCCCATTATACTGTCTGCAAGTGGTGTCTGGCCCCCTCACTCCGTGCCTTGATTTCGTCTACCTGATGGTCCCTCTTTCCTTCTGTGGGTGGAAAGAACCATCTCATTAAAACCAGAACGGTGAGTGGAAAACAGCCTCTGTGGTTCTGACTGGGGGGTGGGGAAGTGGGTGCAGACCTTTGAGTTTTCTCTTAACATACACTCCCCTGGACTGTCACGGCTAGAGAATAGGGAACCTGCATAATAAAAACGAAACACAACAAAAATCTAGCTCCCCACTCCAAAAGGCTCCCCGTTACACCTCCATCAGCAGTTCGCCCCTTTAAGCACACAGGTGGGAAAGAGCCCTGAGCTGAGGATCCCAATTTGCTCTCCCTGGGGTTAGCACTAAAGCCCCGGGTTTGGCAGATTATACAGCCCCGCCCCCACGCCGCTCTTTCGCTTCTCCCACCCCTCCCCCATCCAGCTCAGTCCCCTGCTGCTTGAAGTCTCCCCCACCGCCTTTATTCTCTCCCTCCAAAGAAATCCTTCACCCTCCAGTGCCAGGCAGCTGCTCCCCCCTCCGCCCCCACCGCCTGACTCCTAGAGGAAGCAAAGAATGCTCGGAATGCCCCCCTCGTTGGCTGTCCCTCTCCACCCCCTGCAGAGCATTCCCCAGACGCCCGCTCCATTGAGAAACTCCCGGGCTCTGAGGGCTAGGATGAAAGGGAGGATAAGGACAAAGTGCAGGCAGGCAGCCGGCTGGCTCCGGCTTCAAGCAGGCTCCCTCCCCCATGACTTGCCCGACCCGTTGTTCGCAGGCCCCCAAACATCCCAAGTCCTAGCCAGCTCCAGCTGCCTGCTCCACCGTACACCTGTCCTCCCCGCCAGCCATCAGCGCCTGCCGGTGTGGAGCATCTGCACTTCCCTCCCGCTCCCTGCATCTGGGGAGCTGGCAAAGTCACTGAGTCTGGGGAAGAAGTGGGGAGCCAGGCAACCCTGGGATCAAGACGGAAGAGTAAACAAGAAACTGCTTAAGCTACAACTGGGGTCTCAGTCCGATACCTTTGAGGTCCTACTGAGTGCAGGAGCTCTGGGCTAGGCTCTAGATAGACACGGCAAAAATAAAATGGAGGGTCTTTACCCAAGAAGCTCAGAGTTCAGATGTGGAGTTGACCTTGCTCATTTATTCACTGGACTCAGGACTCAAGCCCTTTTGTGTGCTTAGCTCTTGAAGGACAGAGGTGATTGCTATGTCCCTGATGCAGCACGTAAGATCTTAACCTCAAGGAGGCTGCAGACTGGACAGCAAGGCAGCATACATTAAAAATAAGTAAAACTCTATAGAAAAATTGTCAGTTCAGATAACGCTGAGGGCAGTTGGGGTGATGGAAAAGAGTTGCAACTTAGGAGAGAATAATAAGGGCTACCATTTAGGTACTTATGTATCAGGCACTTGGTGTATTATTTAAAGCTCAGGACAGCCTTGTTAGTCCGGCACAATTTTTATCATTCTTAAGTTGCAGAAGATGAAATTGAGACTCGAAAACTTAAAAGTAACTTGCCTAGTTAGCAGATGGGAAAACCACAACTCAAATCCAGTCTTGGGGGATACCAGATCTGAGTGAGGGGGGGTCACCTGAGCTAGGTTGGGTTTGGAGAGTCAGGAGATCAGTGAGTGAAAGTACAAATACTTACTGAGACTCTATTACGCGCCACACTCTGTCTTAGGCACAAGGAGTATGGCAATTCCTTCTGCCCGGAAATGCTTTCCCCTCACCTCCAAAGCTTCGAAAGGGAGATGCTGCAGTGGGGAGATAGGATGGAGGGGAGAGGGAGGGAAACCTGAGTGTGGAAAGGCACAGAGGGGAGGGAGAGGCCACAGCCCCTGCTAGCACCTTTGGGGGAGGATGGAATTTCTGGGAAGGGGAAGGAAGCGTGGTGTTAGGTACTTGGTCCCGAGATCTTTGTCCTCTTTGTGGTCTGTTTGCTCAGCCTCTTCCAAGCCAGGGGCTGGAAGGGGCGGGCAGGAGAGGGGGTGGATGTGGGGAAGCCTGCTGGGAAAAGAGACTCTAGATGGGAAAGAGAAAGAGAACGTCTATTACTTCAGCCCCGAGGAGACCCCGGCTCAGGATGTGGATCCCACGTTGCACCACCTTTCCCCTCACCTGCCAGGATGCTTCATACCAAAAACATTCCAGAAAGCAGGCTCAGAGAGATGACTCTGGGCCCCAGGGGGTAAGTCTGGAGCCCTAGGAATATTTAGTGCCACATCAGCGCTTCCGGAATGTGAATAACCCAGACAACAACCGGGGGCAACTTTGAGAGACAGGAAAGGACCTTCTGAAATCAACAAATAAGTCTTAACCAGAATTCTCTCCCCACCTCAGCCCTTTCCTCGGGCAAGTCCACTGAGGCCGTCCCTGAGTGCAAGCCCCCTCTGTAGGTAGTGCCAAGCCCCCTCTGCATGGAGGTGGACGGGGGAGACCCTCAAGGCACGTCAGGAGGAGCCCTTCCCTTCTTCCTTGGCCCCATCCAGTAGGGCTGCCATGGGCCCTTCTGGTGGGCTGGTAGGAAGGGGCTGTGCCAATTCAGACCTGTGGGGTACAGCTGTCCCCTCTAGAGGAGCTTCTCGGTCAGCTCTGCGAGTCAGAATCTGGAGACTGACTGACAGCCAGAGTGTGTCTGGACTGGGATGGGCCCAGGACAGAGGGTTGGCTGAAGAACCTGGGCATTTTTAAGCAGAAGAGGAGACTGAGGGCTGGGGAACCAAATAATAGACGACAGTGGTGGTCTTCTGAAAAAGGCTCATGGCTCAGAGCCCACCAATGGGTGGGGGCTACTGAGATGCAGGATGCAGCTTGATAAGGCAGTCACCTGTATAATGTGTTCATTCATTCCTTCATAAGTATTTATTAATTGAGCACCTATAGTGTACACTGTTCTAGGCTTTGAGGATACATTTGTGAACAAAACTGATAAAAATCTCTGCCCTTATTGGGTTTCCATTCTAGTGGAGGAAGCTAGAGCAGTAGGCATAATAAATTTTATAGTATATTAACAGGTCATAAGTATGAGGAGAATGGGGAGGAGACAGGGAATAACATTTTCTGTTTTGTGTGTGTGTGGTTTTTTGTTTGTTGTTTTTGAGGGGGAGGTAATTAAGAGTTTATTTATTTACTTTAATGGAGGTCCTGGGGATTGAACCGAGGACCTCATCATGCTAGGCATGTACCCTACCTCTGAGCTATACCATCTCCCTGGGAATAGCATTTTAAATGGGGGGGATCAAAGAAGGACTCACAAAGAAGGTGGCATTTATCTAAAGACTTAGACGAGGGAAGGTGCTAACCATGCAGACATTTGGTTGAATAGTGTTCCAGGTGGAGGGAACAGACAACAGAAAGACCGTAAGGTGGGAGCAGCAGAAAGAGGGTCAAGAGAGGTGATGGGGGGCTGGAGTAGATCACTTAGGATTTTATGAGCCATTCTACAGGCTATGGCTTTTATTCTGAGTGAAATGGGGAGCCAGTGGGAGGTTTTGAGCAAAAGGAATGGCATAATCTGACGAAGGATTTTTTTTTTTTAATTCCTCTAGCTGCTTGTGGAGAATAGCCAGGGGTGGGGGTGACCTGAAGGACTTCAGGGATGGTGTGTCTTCTACTTGAGAAGGGGGAGGGTTGCAGGTGGAGGGGGTGGGGGAGCTAGGGAGCGCTTAGCCCTCCAATGGAGATAAGAGGTAGAAGAGGTCTGGAATTTGGGAGAGAGATGCAAGATGGAGATAGAGGCTCAGAAGTTGTGGCTAGGAGGAATTTCTGCTTTGGGTGGAAAATCAGATTAGTTGATCTCTGAAGTCCCCAACTTCTAAAGATTCTAGAATTTTATTGACTAGGAAAGCAGCTATTTCTGTAGCTGATCAATTATTTGTGAAAGCTTGAAAGTTGGGGAGGTAGGTGTCGCTGAGCTGGGACAGCGGTTTTTCCTGATTGGAATTAGAAATTCCCTTTGCCTGTTTGGAAAGACCAGGGGGCTTTCTCTCAGGGATGGGAGACGGTTGAGGAGAAATGGTCCTTCTCGGAACTGGGTCTTCCTGTAGGAGAGGGCCATCAAAGACTTCTCAATGCCCTGCAGCTCTGAAACGTCACCCACCCCTGGGCCAGGGCTCTGACTCTGACATTGGCAGAGGGGACGGGAGTTGCCTTGTACAAGCCAGGTCCCCACCGCCCACCCTGAAAACAAGCCAGCACCCAGATTCCCAGTCCTCTTCCTGTGTCTCAGAACGTCCTGCTTCAGGTCACTGCGGAGGCTGAGCACAGCCCATGGGGCCTGGGAATCCGTATTTTAACAAACCTGGAAACTGGCCGTGATCACCAGAGTCTGAGAACTTACTCCTGGTGAGGGCCCTTGACGTACCTCTAAGAAGCTGCTGCCTGTAGAGGAATTTTACACTGTTGGGCAGGCAGGCAGCTTCTCTCTGGGGTGCAGACCTCTCTCTGTCTCATTCTGCCTCCTTTTGGCTCTAAAATCCTCCCCTCACTTCTCAAAAGAACTCCCCGTGTTTTTCAGTCTCTTCCCTTCTCACTCCAGCCTCCAGCCCTCTCCCCGCGCTAATCCCACCTTCTCAATTTCACCTTTTCCCCTCCAGGGCATTTAGGTCAAGCTGAGAGAATGAGTCATCCTAGGGTTGGGGAGGGGGCTTTAAGTCCATAAATGGACAAAAACTCTGATTTCAGGTTTCAGCGTCTAGGAAAGGGCCAGCTTCTCCCCTCTGTCTCCCTTCCCCCAAAGGAATTCCCCAGAGAAAAGGAAGGCGTTGGGGGTGGGGGTAGTGCTGGCTTTGACCAATGAAATTCTGGAAATGGCAGAGTTTTTTAGGAGATAGGAGACTGACTCAGCTTCCCTGATAAACAGACAGTGCCGGCCAGGATTTTCCCAGCTCAAGAGACCAAAACTCCCATTTCCGGGTGGAAGTGAGGGCTCAGCCGGCACCACCTCTTCCCTACTCCAATACCTTCTCCTCCTGATAAGAATGCCGGCTCCAGGCGGCACTGACCTGGGCGCTGGACAATGGGGGCACTCAGCTATCCCAGCAGGGCTGACCACATGACTTCCCCAGGGGCCCTGGAAAGGGTGCAGTGACCTTTCAAATCTCCCT